AATAATAATAGTAATATATCACATTAGTTTATCACTTGTCACAAGTGGACCACACAAATCCAACATGCTACTAATAGAGGAAACTGGCAGGGAGGGAATGCTGAGGGGTTCTATGGAACTCCATGTCCTTTCTGTTCAATTTTTCTATAAACTTTCAACTGTACTGAAAAGAAAGAGCCTATTCATTTTTTTAAAGCCCACAGAGGCATCCACCAGACACGTGTAGCTTCTGTCTTCCTCCTTGGTGACTCACATTTTGGCCAGGACATACCCCACAATCTTCCCATTCTCGTCCTCAGCAATGTAAGAGAGCTGGTGACAGAGAGGAAAAGGGAGTGAGAAAACTTCATGTTGGAGCTGGAGGAGCCCTTTAGAGGGACACAAGCTGGACGAGTGGCCAGTTGTGTGATGGCTCATGACCTCCAGGCTGGGTGACTTGGTCTCCCCCGCGCCACACTGTGCCCTGCCCATGCCCAGAAAGAAGATGCAATGTGGGGATCCTGCCCGATGCCCCAATTCTCGGCTCCCTTCAGGCGCCTTCTTTTCCTTTGCCCCTGCCTGCCAGCTGAAAACACTAGGGACGTCACCAACCATACAGCCCCCTGGGCTCTGACAGACTTGTCCACTCCCTCCAAGATGGCCCGATTGGATTTTCCTCGGCCTGGTTTCCCCCACGCCCAAATTCAGAAGCTGCCCACCTGGGGCCAGGAAAGGCCATGGTAGAAGTAGTATTTCATCTGGTAGTTCTCGGGCAGGCAGAGGAGGTTGCAGTGCTGCATGTTCATTAGGTCCTCTGGCTGCAAGGAAGGAGGGCAGTGGAACGCGCTCAGTCCAAGGCGCCGGTGACCACGGGTGAGAAGTCTGCTCCCCGTCGGTCTGCTCGGCCCCCCTCCCTCGGGGCTGAGCAGGCGCTGTGACGATCTGACTTTGCACAACGCCCAGAGCACAGGAACAGCAGTGGGCGCCCGGAGGTCCCCGGAGCCCACCCAACGCAGGCCCGACATCACGCAAACAGGAGGGAATCGCAGCCCCGGCCTCTTCGGCGGGCTGGGCCAG